CTGGACAAATGAGACATCAGAAAAAATAGGACAGAGAAAATTGGCCTATTGGTATATCACATCTAAAATTTCATAAATCTTCCTTAAATGTTTGTTTTTACTCTTCTCTACAGACACTTAACACAAATGGTCTTTAAGTAGTCCCAGTTCAATTAAAAATTAAACCTGGTTTTGGAATTGGAGAATGGTTTGTTCCTTCTCTAAACCCAAGCATATTGTAAAAATGGAATTTGAAATTCTCTGTATTGTGTCAGAAGAAAAAAACCATCTTCTGATATGGGACAGAAAAAAACCAAAAATTTAAGGAACTTTTCTACTGCCATTGATCTCAATTATTTGGTTCTATTTTGATTCTTTAAACTTTTTAGGTATGCATTTTATGTCAAAATTTATAAGATTAATATATATATGTATAAATACATAGGTATATACATATATATGAAACTTATATCATGATATTAATGGTCAGAAAGTACAAACTTATTCTAGAAAAAGGCTTCATTTAGCTGCCTATACATGTCTGTTCCTGGCAGTACCCATCTACTTCAGAGAAGATATGGGCAAAGAAAAAAATGCATATAGAGTTAACTATTTTGTAGCAAAACTTAGCCACTGGGCAACAAAGTGACCTCACATTGACTGCTGACAGTGTTATGTCCAAAATGGACAAATAGTACACAAAACATAGGATGACCAATTCTTGCCAAGACAAGTGTACTTGCAGCTTTGTCAACAGACGTCCTCTGAGACAAGGACAATATGCTACCATTACTAAAGTGGCTTTGCAATCCAGAAAAGGTACAGTGCCCTTTATTGCAAGTCAACCAAACAAACAGTGGCCTGATGGCTTCTTGTGGGCAGTGAAACAGTAACTGAAACAGTTTTTCCTGAAAGAGTAACTAGGCTGATGGTATCCATCCTCTCATTGATAGACTGGCATTGAAGAAAGGAGATGAAACCACCCATAAGCTAAGAATGATGGGATTCTAAGATGAAGCCACCAACTAGTTGAGAAGAATGGACAATCAAATTCCAACAACAACAACAATTTCCAGAATTTAAAATCCTGAATCAGGACAGGACACCGGTGGAATTCAAGTTTATATGGAACATGGAACACTTGCACCAAATATGATGTTAAGCTGTAGGCCTTGCAAACATGCTACTTCACAAATGAGTCTGTCAGATACTCTAAGCTTATAGGCTGAAGATGATTCCCTAACATGCAGAGAAACCTCAGAGGACTGTACACACAGCTGAAATTTTCTGCAAACTCTCAATTTATGGAAGTTGCTTGTTTATACTTCCTGTTTTACTAGATAATATGATTTCCTTCTTTGGTCTCTGAGGGAGTTAAACAATAGATAGGTGTAGTTACAAATTTCCTACTGAAGAAATTTAGAAAAGAAACTCACTAAGATATTTTAAATGTGTAAGTCTGAAAGACATCATAAGATAGTTTTCTGTTGGTAATATAAGTTAGAATAAAAAGTGAATTAGACATATTTTGGATGTACCAAAATAGAATAGATAAATGAACATTTTCTCTGAATTTGTCCAATGTAAATGGACTAGACATTATTGATGTATTTATTGCTTGTATGTATTGAATGTAGTGATTATACTTATAGTATATAGTTTTTCTTATATTAATTATAAATTTTTAATTTTGAAAATTTTTATTAGACAAAAAAAGACAAAGTGTGGTGATATTTTATTTGTGCTTTAAGAAATTAAGTTTGCCTGGATTCAGGGTGAAAGACCAGCCATTTTAAGTAAACAAAGTCAGGCAGCACAATGCCCTTAATCTGATCAATTAGCAGGCAGTCTCTGAGTTTTCAAAGACATACTAGGGAACAGAGTCAAGTGTGTTGACACATGCCTTAATCCCATGACCAACTATGGACATCTGTCTGAATGGACAAGGAGGACACAAAAGACAGGACGGCTGAAACTTTCATAGACAAGGTAAGAAGGCCCTTTTGAAAATTCTGCTTCATGGATGACTCTGTCCCAAATACTAGGCCTGTGAGCCAAAGATGGATACCACAACTGAGAAACCTTGGGTGAATGTCCAGGCAGCCATCAGTTTCTGTCATTTCTCACATTTTTTGGAAGTTGCCTGCTTGCACTTATTGCTTACTTAGTGAATATTACTTTCTTCTTGGGTCTCTGAGGGGGTTCAAGACTAGATAGTTATAGTTTTACTTGTTAAATAATTGAGAAAAGAAACTCACTAAATAGGTATAAAGTGTATATGTTTGAAAGTCATTGAAAGAGAATATTCAGTTGGTAATAAAATTTAGTATATTAAGTGAATTAGGTACAATATTCTGGACTCACCAAAATGGAATAAATAATGGATTACTTTCCTGAATCTGTCCAATGTTAATGGACTTGACAATGTTAATGTAATTTCTGACTGGATATATTGTATATACTATTATACTTATTGAATATAATATTATTATATTAGTTATAATATTCTTTTTTACTTTACACAAAGATGGGGAAATGTGGTGATATATTGTATACCCTAATAAAAATTGCCTGAGGATCAGAGGGCAGAGCCATCCACTCGATCAGGCAGTAGTGGCACACTACTTTAACCCTAGCACTTGGGAGGCAGAGATGCTGTGAAATGTTTTGTATGTTAAATGTGTGCTCTGATTGGTTAATAAATAAAACATTGATTGGCCAGTAACCAGGCAGGAAGTATAGGTGGGAAAAGGAGGGAGGAGAATTCTAAAAATTAAAAGGCTAAGGCATAGAGACACTGTCAGCTGCTGCCATGACAAGTGAGATGTACTTCTAAACCACAAGCCACATGGTAATTTATAGACTAATAGAAATGGGTTAATTTAAGATATAAGAATTAGATACGAAAAAGCCTGCTGTGGCCATATAGTTTGTAAACAATATAAGTCTCTGTGTGCTTACTCAGTTGGTTCTAAGCAGCTGCAGTACTTGCAGGTGAGAGAGATTTGTCCTGACCTTAGGCCAAGCAGGACTGGAGAACTCTCCAGCTACAAAACGATTCATCTGCATCTCTGTGAGCTCAAGGCCACCCTGGACTACAGAAGACTGACTCAGTCTCAGAGAGGAATCAGAGCCAGATAATGATGGTGCACACCTTTAATCCTAACACTTAAGATCTCATGCCTTTGTTGAGGAAGTACACATGCCTTTAATCCCAGGATGTATTATGTCAAGATGAAGAAAATTCTACAAATTACAAGGAGACAGAAACTAGAGGCTCTTTTTTGCCTATACCTTTACATTTATGACTCAGAGGCTTTCAGGACTGGCTGAGCAGTTGGTGAGGTGAAGTTGGCTGTGGCTTTCTCTGCTTCTCTGATCTTTCAGCTTTTAGCCCATTATCTGGCTAATGGATTTTTATTAATAAGACATTTTTTAAAAATTTTTCTGGCATGGTTTCTGTGTAGCTTTGCACGCTTCTTGGAATTCACTCAGTAACCCAGTCGGGCCTCAAACTCACAGAGATCAACTTGCCTTTACCTCCCAAGTGCTGGGATTAAAGCCATAAACCACCACCATCCAGCTTTAATAAGACCTTTTAAGATTTGAATACCTTGTAGGGAAGCAGATAGGCTGACTGAAGATTTTTACCTGTTCCTGTGCTTTTACAGCTCCAATTCCCGTCTCATCCTCATTTATGCCAGAGAATAATCTGTGTTATCGCCCTCATCTGGGTTGAATCCAACAAATTTTCTAAACTCAATAATCAAACTCGGAGTTCTGTCTCAACTTTTAACACCAATGCAGCCTCCTTGGGAACCCACCAACTACTGTGTCAAAGAAGAGCTAACCTAAATATAGATCTTCACTCTTCCTTATTCCTTTGAGTCCACTCCCCCAGGCTTACTCCCAGCTCTGCAGCAGAGCACTTGCCTTAGCCACCCACATCTCTAGTGGATGTCTGAGATCCATGCTAACATCCTTACCACAATGCAAGGATTTGCCCCATACCTTAACTCAATCAAGTATTCCCTAAAAACATCCAAAACAACCTAGGCAAAGAAACAGGTTAAATTCAGATCTTCACCTCTCCATTTGAATCTCCACGTCAAATCTCCTAGTAGTATTTCAAGCTCTATGTGGAACACCTGCTGCAGCTTTCCTCCCACATATGTCCCTGTCTCATGTAGATAACACAGATCTTAACAACCAAAGTTCTTCCTCCTACTCATTTTTTGTCCAAGCAAATGATGAAATCCAGAAGATACTATCTAAGCACTTACTGGCCAGTCTAATCAGGAAACAAGTAGACTAACTGCATATATTGATCTCTCCTTCCATTCTTCCAAGTCCAATCTTCAGTCTCATTCACAGCATGATTTCAAACCTTGTCTTGTGATCTGACTTCACTCAGTGGTCCCATTCCCGGGTAACTAACTAAGTAGCTCCTGTGGATTAATCTCTTATCTTCCCTTCTGTGGATCTTCTTATGCCTTCCTCCTAGATCATTCCTGTAGTGGGTAGCCATTCCAGCTTGGTTCTGGAAGTTCCAACCCCCATTGAGACTCTGGCAACTGTCACGCCTACGAGGCGGGGTGATGGGATGTGCCGGGGGACCCAGAGTGGGATGGGTCAGCGCTCTCTCTGGGTGCTTGCTCGGTGCCGGAACACTGACCGGTGCAGATTGACTGTGCAGAGCTCCGGAGAACACCGCTGGACTGCGTTACACCTTCCCCAGACCCTGCGACCTACCCATTACTTAATTTGTGAGTTACGCCATTAAATAAATATCCTTTTAACTACGTGGAGTGGCCAAAATAATTTCTCCAATATCTGGCGCTCACGTGGGGCAAACTCCAAAGGCCTGGGCGGCTCCCGCCATCTCCTCCCTAGCTCGCAGGTACCTAAACCCGCCTGCAAAGTTCCATATAACCAGGGAACACCTACACGGTTCCATTCCCAAAAAAGGGAGCAGCTAGTCCCATCTCAATTCCCTAGCTTAGCCCCAGACCAGCGAAAGAGGCAGGAGAGTGCTAGCTCCGATTTCTGCCATCTCCCTCTGACTCCAGCCAAGATCGTCAGCAGGCCCTGTTTCGGAGCTGTACCAACGCCACCTGCTGGCTGAAAAGTGCTACTACACGAAAGGTAAGCATATTGTTTCAAGTAAAGGTACTTGATAATTTTACACCTTAAAATTGACTAACAAATTTTGAGAAATTAGTGTAATATGGCCGACAACATTACCTCACAAGAATTTAAAAACCTTTTTGCCTGTATGATGAATGACATCTTCCTGGAAATATACGACATTCCTAAGGCAT